CCCCCCCCCCGCTCCGATCCGCCAGCGCTGACTGGCAGAACGAACGGGGGAGGGGGCGGGTACAGCTGGCTCTGCCTCACGCAGCTGGGCGGATCCAGACATAATTGTCACCAGCTGCGGCGTCTCAGTATACCGCGAGCTGTAGCTCCCTATATACTGAGCCTAGGGTGACGGGAGGACGCTAGTTTGTGTCCTCCCGTTACCCTAAGGAGAACTATGGGGAAAACACTGACCCCATAGTTCTCCTTTTTAAAGTTCCTGTAAATTGTGACATTTGGGGGTTTTATTGTCATTTATAACTATATTTTCTTTTTTGATGGGAGTTGTTGGAACCTTTTTTGTTGCCATGTCTCCGCCTCCACTAGGAAGCGTTGTTGGATTGGGGATGTTGGGGGGAGTAGTAGTGTGATTTTCATCTGACTCCTCTGTCCTTGTCTTGCAGTTGGTCCTCCGTACTGCCTCCACCTGAGGGTGAAATTCTACTCCTCGGAGCCCAACAACCTGCGAGAGGAACTCACACGGTCAGTGTCCCGGGGATTGTGGGAAATTCTGATAGAGGTCATCCACCTGCAGCTCGCTGTCCAGGCAAAGGTTGTGCGGGGGGGGGTCTTTGTCCTGAAGGCTCCGTAGCTTTTAGTTCTGTATAATTGGCCCTTGTAGACGCTCGGGAGTATAAAGTCAACTTTCTGAAAAGTCGCTTCACCCTAAACCGGCATTCCACAGAGTCCCTTATACTTACCAGGCTGCCCCCAAGGTGAATGTGAGCAGAGATGTTTGTTTTCGGTAACCGGGAGCATGACTTGTGGTTACCTGTAACCAAAATATCAGCTTTGGGTGGATAAAGCCTGTATTGGGCAGCTGTGGCATTCATCTGTGTGGTCACCTCGCATATCCTCCAGCATGCTGGCAGTTTATTATCGCTTCGATGGCGGCCTGGCATCTCTCTGGGGCCGCTGCTCAGTGACACAGCCAGCGTATCCCAGTGTTACCCCATTAAGGTTTTATTGGCCCCTCCCATTGTGCTCCGCCATGAAGGGACCAATTTATAGGGTCAGCGCTGTGTTTATAGAGGTGGAAAGAATCCTGTGTTATGTATAAAGGAGACTCCTCAATGCAACGTGATGGGAGGTTCTATATGGCTGACGGTGCCGTCTCCACCCTGTTGTGTAAAGTTCCCTCAGTGACCACAAAAGACGGGCTGGACCATGTGGACGATATAAATCATTTACAGGTGGAGCTGAAGGAGAAGGGCCCCGGGTCTGATTATTCTCTATATCAGGACTTTTTAAAGTGCATGTAAAGACAAAACGGGCGGAGGAATGTGACATTAATTTTTAGCTTTATTTATCTCTAAGGTTGGAGTGTCCATTTGACACAGCGGTGCAGCTGGCTGCGTACACCCTGCAAGGTACGGACCACCATACACCTCTCTGAGCTTCACATACACGCCGCGCACACACACACACACACACACACAACGCAGTGTTGTCACTTAAAGGAGAACTATGAGGGTCAGGGCTTTTCCCCATAGTTCTCCTTAGGGTAACGGGAGGACACAAACCAGCGTCCTCCCGTCACCCTAGGCTCAGTATACCGCGGGCTACAGCTCGTAGCTCGCGGTATACTGAGGAGTAGAATTTCACTCTCAAGTGGAGGCAGTACGGAGGACCAACTGCAAGAGAAGGACAGAAGCGTCAGATGAAATCGCACTACTACTCCAACCAACATCCCCAATCCAACAACGCTTCCTAGTGGAGGCGGAGACATGGCAACAAAGAGGTTCAAACATCTCCCATCAAAAAAGAAAATAGTTATAAAATGACAAAACCCCCAAATGTCACAATTTACAGGAACTATAAAGGAGATCTACTGAGCCGACCTGTGACTGTCTCATTGTCACAGGTCGGCTAGAACTATGAGGTGAGTGAAAAGCACCCCCCCACCCCCCTCATACTTCTCCTTTTTAACAGGCCGTACAGCGCAACCAAACTTCTCTGTTTTTGTCACAAGTTACAGAATATTACTCTCATAAGCTGCATACAATATTTCTTGTTGGTAATCTGCTTTCTTCACAACAAAGCAAAAGTCATGAAATAAAATATTCAAATGAGGGAATCTGGAAATGCAGACTGGTGCAGACCATGGAAAACCATTTCCAGGAAGTGGAGTCCTTCCATGCGTTGTCAGAGCCATGTCCAAGTGTACACATAATGGCTACACGTATTATAAGGGATTGCTCGGGAGTACTCGCCCAAATACTCGACACCGATATCAGTGCATCCCTATTTCCCACCATCCCTGTGCTGAGTTCCCGGGTCTGTACACCCGCTGTGCCCATTATGAGGGTCTCCCACCATCCCAGTGCTAAGTTCCCGGGTCTGTACACCCGCTGTGCCCATTATGAGGGTCTCCCACCATCCCAGTGCTAAGTTCCCGGGTCTGTACACCCGCTGTGCCCATTATGAGGGTCTCCCACCATCCCAGTGCTAAGTTCCCGGGTCTGTACACCCGCTGTGCCCATTATGAGGGTCTCCCACCATCCCAGTGCTAAGTTCCCGGGTCTGTACACCCGCTGTGCCCATTATGAGGGTCTCCCACCATCCCAGTGCTAAGTTCCCGGGTCTGTACACCCGCTGTGCCCATTATGAGGGTCTCCCACCATCCCAGTGCTAAGTTCCCGGGTCTGTACACCCGCTGTGCCCATTATGAGGGTCTCCCACCATCCCAGTGCTAAGTTCCCGGGTCTGTACACCCGCTGTGCCCATTATGAGGGTCTCCCACCATCCCAGTGCTAAGTTCCCGGGTCTGTACACCCGCTGTGCCCATTATGAGGGTCTCCCACCATCCCAGTGCTAAGTTCCCGGGTCTGTACACCCGCTGTGCCCATTATGAGGGTCTCCCACCATCCCAGTGCTAAGTTCCCGGGTCTGTACACCCGCTGTGCCCATTATGAGGGTCTCCCACCATCCCAGTGCTAAGTTCCCGGGTCTGTACACCCGCTGTGCCCATTATGAGGGTCTCCCACCATCCCAGTGCTAAGTTCCCGGGTCTGTACACCCGCTGTGCCCATTATGAGGGTCTCCCACCATCCCAGTGCTAAGTTCCCGGGTCTGTACACCCGCTGTGCCCATTATGAGGGTCTCCCACCATCCCAGTGCTAAGTTCCCGGGTCTGTACACCCGCTGTGCCCATTATGAGGGTCTCCCACCATCCCAGTGCTAAGTTCCCGGGTCTGTACACCCGCTGTGCCCATTATGAGGGTCTCCCACCATCCCAGTGCTAAGTTCCCGGGTCTGTACACCCGCTGTGCCCATTATGAGGGTCTCCCACCATCCCAGTGCTAAGTTCCCGGGTCTGTACACCCGCTGTGCCCATTATGAGGGTCTCCCACCATCCCAGTGCTAAGTTCCCGGGTCTGTACACCCGCTGTGCCCATTATGAGGGTCTCCCACCATCCCAGTGCTAAGTTCCCGGGTCTGTACACCCGCTGTGCCCATTATGAGGGTCTCCCACCATCCCAGTGCTAAGTTCCCGGGTCTGTACACCCGCTGTGCCCATTATGAGGGTCTCCCACCATCCCAGTGCTAAGTTCCCGGGTCTGTACACCCGCTGTGCCCATTATGAGGGTCTCCCACCATCCCAGTGCTAAGTTCCCGGGTCTGTACACCCGCTGTGCCCATTATGAGGGTCTCCCACCATCCCAGTGCTAAGTTCCCGGGTCTGTACACCCGCTGTGCCCATTATGAGGGTCTCCCACCATCCCAGTGCTAAGTTCCCGGGTCTGTACACCCGCTGTGCCCATTATGAGGGTCTCCCACCATCCCAGTGCTAAGTTCCCGGGTCTGTACACCCGCTGTGCCCATTATGAGGGTCTCCCACCATCCCAGTGCTAAGTTCCCGGGTCTGTACACCCGCTGTGCCCATTATGAGGGTCTCCCACCATCCCAGTGCTAAGTTCCCGGGTCTGTACACCCGCTGTGCCCATTATGAGGGTCTCCCACCATCCCAGTGCTAAGTTCCCGGGTCTGTACACCCGCTGTGCCCATTATGAGGGTCTCCCACCATCCCAGTGCTAAGTTCCCGGGTCTGTACACCCGCTGTGCCCATTATGAGGGGCTCCTACCACCCCTGTGGGATTCTTCATTTTTCATTATTAGGAGAGATCTCGCTTCTAGGTGCTCTGACCGTTCTCCTATATAGAGGTGTTGCTCTGGTTAGGTCGCAGAGTTTGATATGTCTGTATGTTCTCTCGGAGGGCTCGGTGTTGCTGGGATGCCAGTGATGGCCGCCGGTTGGGCAGTAAGCTCTCTGTCTGGCTGATAAGCAGATTGGGTTTAGATGAGATAGAACGTTAATCCGGATTTAGCAGAATAGTGTCTAGCTGCCGGGAGACATGATATTTCCAGCGGGGTCCTTCCTCCCCCCTCCGTTTCATGATTAATCCCGTCCAGTCCTCCTCGGCTCATCACCAGACGTCTCTTACCGCGTCCAACCAGGGGAACCCCTCTGATTTATTGTCCTCTGCCCACTGCAGGACTCTCCTCTCCTGATATACTCTGCTGGAGGACTCTGCTCCTTCCTCTATAACTCTCCTCTCCTGAAATACTCTGCTGGAGGACTCTGCTCCTTCCTCTATAACTCTCCTCTCCTGAAATACTGTTTCTGTCCCTGATTTCAGCAGCTGTGAGTCTTCCGGTGTGAAGAACATTCGGACTGGTTGGGCAGTCGCTCTGATTTTATTCTATTTTTTTTTTTATTTTTTTCTTCCCTCTTTTCAGTGGAATTGGGAGACTTTGACCCCAGCGACCACACGCCGGACCTGGTGTCAGAGTTCCGCTTCGTGCCCACTCAGACGGAGGACTTTGAGCTGGCGGTGTTTGAGAAGTGGAAGGAGTTCAGGTAAATCTGTCCTGTTGTCATGAACAAAATCTCGGGGGGCCGGGTTCTGGAGATCAGCAGAACTGGAGCTGCATTCCGTGCCCGGTTCCGTCATGATCAATGAGATCTCTGTCTGTGAGATCAGATCTGCTACAATTGTATCTGTTACCAAAACCATATACATGAGATACAAGTAGAAGGGGGAAGCTCCGGTCCGGGTTTTCCCATCTACAGACACAGAACAATTAAAGTATTAAAAGAGAACTATGAGGTCAGTGGTTTTCCCCCATAGTTCTCTTAAGGATCACGGTGGGACATATAACAACCTCATCCCGTCACCCTAAGCTCAGCATATAGGGAGCAGCTTGCGGTATACTGAGACCGCCGCAGCCGGGACGGATCCCGACATCACTGTCTGGATCCGCCCAGCTGCGTGAGTGACAGCGGGCTCTGCCTATCTAGAGGCATAGCCAGCTGTGCCCGCCCCCTCCCCCGTCCGTTCCGCCAGTCAGGGGAGGGGGGTATCCCTGCGGGGAGCGGTGAGTGACAGCCAACGCTCTCTGCAGGGAGATGATCGAGAAGTGAGCGAGCGGTGTGCGTTCGCTCACTTCCCGATCTATTGAGCTGACGTGTGACCGTTTCATTGTCACACGTCGGCTCGAACTATGAGGCTGAGTGATTTTCGCTCGCCTCATAGTTCTCCTTTTTAAGGAGTTTGTCACTTCCTGTTGTGTCTTTAGTACAGGAAATTGATGCAGATCTCCCAAACGGGACACAGGTTAAAAAAACCAAAAAACAATACCATACATAGGTTCTAATACACTTTAGCTATAGATACATTATTCTATTAGCTAACTTTGTATAAAGCTGTAACATTCTGCATGTTGAGGTGCAACGTGCGATACAATGCAGCTGCAAAATCTCTGTA